CCGCTACGTTGCTTTTGGCACGCGTTGCGAATACCTCCAGAAAAAAAGCGAAGCAACTGCTTGCTATCCATTTGACCAGTAGAAGTCCTAGGGAACTGCCAAGACTTACCCTGTGCAAATACATGAAACGAGTCTGCGCTTGACTCCGGTGTTTTTCTGCAAAAGCTAAGACTCCGGCACAAGATCAGAAACATTAGAAGAATTGTATGAGGCTTTGCCTCCGCGACCCGAAAGTAGAAGTGGTCATTGAGAATGAAGAAGAACTCATTACTCCACTTCAGTAAATCTCACAAAGCCGACATAAGCTGCATGAAATCGAGTAGTAAGAGTGGTAAAAGACGATCAATTACCAACGTAACTCTGTATATAATGATGAAGGGATGCATGCAGGAACGTTAAAAATATACCTTCTGTCAATTTCTGTAATATTAGTTTTCATACTTAAAAGAAAACATTTATTTCTTTCCATTTTCTAATTTTTCATCCATGGACATCCGCATCTTTCGTTCGTCATGCCCATAAGTACCATCCCTCCTCATTTTTCGTTAGTAAGTTAAACAGACATGGTGGCATACAAATTAAAACTGCAGTAGTAGTGCATACCTTCGCTCATTGCTTTATGTAAATTTGGTGTAATTATTCTTTATTTGAGTCTTGTTTAATAATGATATTCTTTCGATATTGTAATCAAAGAATTGTTTCTCGATCTTTCGGCCAGAGTTTAGTAGCCTGTTACCTGTCAGTTTTCAAATCCTAGGTTACGTCAATAGTTTTCACGATTCATGTCATCCGTAAATTTTTTACCTGACAAAAACCGTACAGTACGTGCATGTTGGACGCAGGTGTAGCGAATGGTGGCACGACCGGAGTGACCAATGGAGCTGTCGGTAGCGAACTGGCTGCCAACGTAAGCGAAGCAGTCTTAGGCATAGCCAACGCACTAGGCACAAGCAGGACTCCGGACGGTTGCTGCACGGCCGTCGGAACAACGGAAACCGTGGACAAATCCTTGAACTTCATCTTCACATAAAACGAAACGCTTATTTCAAATGAAAGGACTACAACAAATCAGGCTAGGCTACCTCTTCGGTACTTCTACGACTTCCGCAGCTGTTGTTGACCCCCATGGACCTTAAACTCATGTTTTTAATGCCGGAGGCATTGCGCACCATTCGGTATCCACTGTCGGTTCTAAAATTTAAGGTAATGACAGAAACCAACGCCGAAGATACTAACCTCATCCACTGAGGCACTCCGCAAGCGCC